AACTTCTGAAGAGCTCTGGCCTGACCATCCCAGAGACCTGCTCCATCACACACTGAGACTCTGGACTGACCAACACCAACTTCTGAGGAGCTCTGGACTGACCGTCCCAGAGACCTGCTCCCATTTATCTTCAGGTTTAACCTAAATGTGCCTAAAGGTAATGAATAAGTACAAATATTCTGTAGGGTTTCATAAATCTTTGAAAGAATAGCACTTACAGTACTGATTTTCCAGACTTATTATTGCTTTGTATTGAGGGATTCTCTGTTTCCTCCTCCTGTCTCTCCCTGTGTCTTCTGTCCTTTGGTGTGTGTTTATTACTGAGGATATCTCTGTTTTCTCCTCTATATCTGGTGAATCTTTTTTCTTAGCTTTGCCCTGTCTGCTGTAAGAGAGATGATGTAATTTAGTTTGTATTTGCAGGCAGAATAATAAAACTCCAATCATCAGGAGTTTTAAGGTATTTACTGACCTACTGATACAGTTATTGGCTACTTTTATGTAAAATCTGCTTCAAGTGGATCTCTGCTGTCACAAATGAAGGGACATTTTGAAGTTGAATTTACAGATTTCATAGGGAAAAATTAGGTCAGTTGTACTATTTTCTTAAAAGGACAGGAATCTACAGGTGTGTGTGACAACAGGAGAGACAGGAGTCCTCAGGTTTAACAACAGGAATAAATCTGCCCTAGATTAAAAATGCATGCGCTTCTTTTCTAAATCATATTGGCCCCTGCGTGCTTCTGAGAATCAGCATTTGTGTGGCTTTGGGGGTTTGAGAAGAATAAAAACCACACTGATCCCGTTATGAGACTGCTGAAGTAGAGAGATTAGCTATATATGGTCCTTTCCAGATCACTTCCTGTTGAGACAGCGGGTGACTGTTTGTCTAAATAAGTGCTACCTGATTAGACAGATTAAGATTCTGTACAGATCAACATCTGAGTTTCTGAAGAGCTCTGGACTGACCATCCCAGAGACCTGCTCCATCACACACTGAGACTCTGGACTGACCAACACCGACATCTGAAGAGCTCTGGACTGATCATTCCAGAGACCTGTTCCATCACACACTGAGATAAAGACTTTACAGATCAAGACCCATTCTGAGAAAACCAGGAGGTGAAAATGACTTTCCTGCCGTTGCTGTTTGGGCTTCTGGTCATGAACATATCTGAAGGTAAATGAGTTTGAGCACGATTTGGAAACTTTGTAGCAAAACAGCAAGGGAATATCAATAATATTACTGTCTTCTGACCTATTATATTGTTTCCTTTTGAGGAATACCTGTGAACTTTTTTGCATCACACTGTGTCTCCTGTCCTGTTGTATGTGTTTATCACTGAGGGATTCTCTGTGATCTCCTATCTCTCAGTGTCTCCTGTTCTGTTGTGTGTGTTTATTTCTGAGGGATTCTCTGTGATCTCCTCTCTCTCTCACTGTGTCTCCTGTCCTGTTGTGTGTGT